TCACGTCTTATCCACCGTAGTTTGTGGCCTGAAGCCCTCAATGGACGAATATGCTCGAAATGTGGACACATATGCTCCTTTCTGCTACGATATGCTCGAGCATATATATGCTCTTTCCGGAATATGCTTTTGCTTGTGCTCCTATAGGCCAATTATGCCAAACGTTATGCCCGCACAATGGGGCAAGCCCTAGCTGGCGCTTCGTTACTTGGGTGAGGCTACTTGGCTGGGCACAGGTGAGGCACCCAACCAGGAGAGAGAGAGAAAGAGAGAAGAAGAAGACGACGGCTGGTCACCCCTCGTGGAAAGTTGGAGTGTGCTTGGAACCCCGCTTGTGGTAAGGCAAGGGCCAACACTACGGTTCATCGCCAGTTGGACCACTACGATACTGAGCAGAGATCGGAACGGCTCTTAATGCACAGCAAGAAGAAGAAAAATAACAACAACAACAACAACAACAACAACAACAACAATAACAACAACAACAACGGTTACGCGGTCGATCCTAAAGAAGGGGGAAAAAACAAAAGACGCACGCACACATTCTGCTACAAGACTGAAGAATTTCACTTGCCTCCCCGCTAGCGCGGTCGATAAATATGAAATAAAACACGCACACACACAGCCTAGGGCGGCCGATGTTAAATTCACGAAACATTCGCAAACACACTCACAAGAGGGGCATGACCACGTACGTGTTCCCATCACTAGCTTTGATCTCCTCCAGCTTCTCGTTGTTCACCTGGCGTCGTTAATGTTTTTATTCGTTCGTTCATTCGATTGCCATGCTAGTGTTACGGCAGGTTGTTCAGGTACTGCAGGCTGTTCCGTTACGGCAGGCTGTTCAGATTCAGCATGATGTTCAAACCGCATGGCTGATGCGGAAGGGAACAAGGGCGCGTGTGTACATGCCCTGGGCACAGCAGCGTAGCCGTGAACCTAGAATCAACCAGCGCGACCTGTGCAAAAAGCTAATATTTCGGTGGAGTCATGCTTCCGGTTCCACATAAGCACAAAAACCTCACTCCTCTCCGACCTCCAACCGCAAAAAGGGCAAAAAGGCAACCTTCTTGTAAGAGGTGGGGGGCGGGATAAACCAGCGTAGCGCAACGGGTGGTTCAGGCGTCGGCGCACGAAGTATCTGGATCTGGAGCAAGCATGTAAAACGGATCGCATGCAGACTACGGGCTGAAATAGCAGACGCATGTCTTCTGTAAGGAGCCTACAGGTTGGGGCCCGCAGCAAAGCAGCGTTGATTTTGCGTCGAAGAACGTCGAAGTTCAGCTTCGTCAATCGTAGGCACCGTCGAGCACGATCATGCACATTCACGCTACCAAGCTGGAGAATGTTTGTGCACCATCCACTCGCTAAGTAGGGTGTCCTTCGTCGGACAAAAAATTCTCTTTTTTGCGGGCAAACGGAAATCTGATCGTCGCAGTCTAGATTGCGTAGTGCTTGAGGTATGACCAAATGGCCAGATTGATTGCGGGACCAAACCGGTCTGTCTTGATTGATGGTCCAAGTCTACCGCAGTTCTCCCGTTCTCAGCTGTCGGGTGAAAAGCGTCCATGTAGACTTCATGTACATTCCCTGACGAGGACACACAAATGGCACCCCTTGATCCCTGCTGAGGTGATGAGGGCGTTGATTGGAAATTGCCCTCGTGGGGGGAGCCATGACAATCCCCCACCAATCAACAAATGTTCCGATAGGCAATGTTCAAACGTTCACACAGAGAGACCCCCGACTTCCGAGGAGTCTAAAGCATACCGTCGGTAACACAAGATACCACACCCCCTGTGGACCATTTTCAAAGCTCGATTTCTCCACGACGAAGAGGATGAATAAATGGAATAAATGAAACGATATGTTTTCAGAAAGCTCCCGACGAGACGGTTTCAACGCCCCCATTGTCGACGCTGCCACTCTTTATGCTGTGGAGAAATCGATCGTTGACAATCGGTCTTGGGGGTGTGGTATCTCACGTGACCTGCGGCGATCTACAGCTATAGTCTAGAGACTGCATGAGTTTCGTAAAACACGAAGACAGACACCGCAGCAGCCAGTGAATAGAACCACAGGTCAAGGCTCGGCAAATATGCACCCAACGTCCCTCGACAATGTCCCGGCTGTCGCCACGGGCGTGTGTGCTGGTGAGAGAACCAATCATGTGTCCGGGAGGACATACTGTAGACTAGTCTACAGCTACATACGGTACGCATACCGGCAAACAGTTGAAATCAAAATTTGAGAGTTGCGAATTTGAAAATCAACAAGTCGATTCCTAAAATTATCAGCAAGGTGCTTGCACCGTGGATGATAATCTGAAAGCTCACCACGATGTGGAACTCGTTGTCCTGCTTCTCGTCGAGCATCGTGGTGTCCTATCTTCCCTCTCTATCACAGGTGCCTTTCGTCCGGTGTGTGTGTGTGTGTGTGTCGCTCGCGCTCTGCCGGGGACCTCGCAGATTCCGGTGGACACCCCTCGGTAATCGAGTGCGGAGTAGACTATGTCTGCGATGACTCCAAGCGCTTGCTTCGTCTGCCAACTCCGCTGTTGGCTGAGGAAGGGACAATGCCGAACCTACATGCTACGAAGCTGTACACCGGAACTCTCCCTCCAGGAAAGACGGTGTCTCCGAGGCCTTGGAGAATGGCTATCGGCGAAAGGCGGGGCTTGGGAGCTCTTTGCTTTATCAAGGCGGCCGGAAAGGAGCTTGAGCTATTTGTATGAGGACACCTGTTCATACACGTAGATACCTACGGAGAGGCCTGTGTGTTCTCCTGCGGGTGCTGGTCAAAGTGTGGCCGCGGTTTTCCATCCATTGCAGCTAGGGTAGGGGCGCGGGGTATGCTTGCAGGCACAGCAGTTTTCGATTTTGCGGAGATCCAATGAAGAGACCGTTGGCGACCGATGTACGAGTTCGACCTCGGCAGCCGCACTACATAGACTAGTCATCGACCGAAATAAGTCCAGTACCCAGCCGGTGTTCCTCTCCACTCACTGAAAAGATTCCACCACATCCCGTTCGACTGTGGGTATACCTCGAACAATGGGTAGTCTTTCTGTGTGTGTATTTAGTTTTACTGTAAGTCATCGTAACTTTTACTTATTCCCTTTGCTTATTCCACAGCAGGGGAGCGATCCGCGCATGTTTTGAGAGAATCAGGTAGATAGAAGCAAAGAATTCGATGTTAGTTTATCCTGGGACTTGCGTCCACGGATAGACGATATCGCTAACTAGGGAGGAAGGAAGTGTTGAGACAAGGCCGACCAAGGACGCGGTCGATCCTACCTCCACAGCAACAGCAGTCGTATGTATGCGTCATCACTCCTGTACAAGAGACTTTCCGTACTCTGCTCCACCGGCGTGTTTGCTGTCGCCATGATTGTCTGCTGGCCGGCAGACGCTGTTATTCCCGCCACATGTTGTGTATTTGTGTACAAGTTTATTTGTTTTAGGGAAGAACCAAGCCCGGGCATTTTCCCTCACATGCATGCACCCGTTTATTTCAAGCAACTTGTCGACCAATGACCGAGGACGTACATGTCGCCGTCGAGGGGTGGGAGCCCCGAACCAGCACGCTCGGCGTAGAGGAGGTGTCGCCGTCCCGCTCGACGATGCCATCGACTATGCCGCGGGCGGGGCAGGGGAAACGCCTCTTCTTCGCTATCAGCGCTCCTGTTTGCCTGTGCTATCCTGGTGTTGCTTCGAATCGTCATGTTCTCCCGCTACATCGGAAACGTCGTTTGGCCACACATGGTGGCAAATCTTGAATGTAAACCTCGTACATGCGCACATTTTTTCTCTCTCTATCGCCTTCCTTACGTAGGTATCTTCCAAAATACTTGTTCATTTCTTTGCTCGTCCGTACCTCGTCGTACGCACGTTGACTTGACACGTTCGTGTAGAGGTGGCAGCGGATGGTGGTGAATGGGGGCTATTCTCCAGCTGCATCATAGGCGTCGTTCGTATCATCTCTCTCCGTGTCTCGCCGTCAACACATCTTCCGAACGTGCGTCAACTCTTTTTTCTCGTATTCCCTCATCACGCGCAAATTGACTTGACAGGTTGGCGTGGAGGCGACAGCGGATGGCGTTGAATGGGGAGTGGATAGTCTTTCTTCCGTGATGGGCACGACGGACAGCTACACGAGCTTCACGATTCGCTTGCCGGACGTGTCCCTCCGGTGCGGACTCGCGCGCGGCAGGCGCTATCGCGCCGGGACAGACCGTGGCGTGAGTCAACAGATTTTTCGGAGGCACTTGGCAGCCCCTCACCAGGTCCTCGCCGAGATCAATCCGCCGCCGGAGCCACCTGTCTGTGGTTGGACCAACAAGTCGGGTCGTGTTTGGCGCGGTGCGCTTCGCTGCCGCCATTGCGTCCGCCCTCGCGTACGGTTTTGCAATGACTTCCGCCGTCTTCGTGGCCACGTCCTCCTCGGCTGCCGCCCCCTCCTTGTTGTTCGCCGTCGATCACGCCCGCACGCAAGCAGTCAGTGACGATGAACCCCCAACCACTCGCCTCGAGGCCGATCGATACTTCATGGGTGGCCGGCGTCGAGTAACTTGTCGCAAAACTCGTCTCGTCGTCGCCACGGGAGGAGGAGGAACAGGGTATACCGTAAGGTTGCGAGTCGGCGCACAGGGGTGCGATCGATTTTCAAAGCGTAATTTCTCCGCAACCAGGAGAGTGCGAGCGCCAACTGATACTTCTCAGGAAAGCTCTCCATGAGATATTTCGAAAACCTCCCTTTTCGACAGTGGTAACCTCCTGGTTGTGGAGAAATTACACTTTGGAAATCGTTCGCACCCCTGTGCGCTGACTCGCAACCTTACGGTATCTCAAGAACGTCTTCGCTCATCACGCGGAACCCACTTCTAGTCGGCCCGGGCTATTGTCCGTCTGGGGAGGAGCGGATCCACCCGAGGTGTGTCCGATTTCATTTTTGGTTTATAAGTCATTGTATATGGCAACAACCAAGGCCTGGCTATCTTGAGACTTAGAAATGACCTGTGAATACTAAATCGTTCACTTCGCCGCAAAAGCTCGTGATGCACCACCCTTTTGCCCACGTTTGATGTGCCCGGCCAGTTTCGGTGTCGTCTGCTTCGAGGTGGCTACCCTGATGGAGCTGTTCAAGGGATTCAAACAAACACAGGTGATCAGGGCGGTCGCGGACAAAGGAAAACGCCCTGAAAATCCTCAAGGGGCGTCTGCTTCGCCCGATGTCGTGCCTCTGATGGAGCAACGCTGGAAGCAAGACCCTGCGGATCGCCCCTACGGATTTGGGCCTGTGGTTCGGGTGCGAGCGAACGTGGTGTCGCGTGTTGGAGACCCTCGTATTCACAGTGCAGCTTCCGTGGATGCCACCCTCACTAAGTGCAAAGCGTGGTGGTGCACCTACGGTTGTTGGCGGTGGCAACGTCGATGCGCTGTGAAGTTGGCCTGGCCCCTCGTCTCGTCCGGACGGAGTCAATTCCGGGAGTATTTCCGATCTAACAAATGAGCTGCGGTCTGCTATGTTCGGTAGCTGCAGATATGTTGGCGCGCTCAAAGGGGGAGTTTCACGGAGTGCTGTGAAGGAGAAGGCTCCGGACTCAGAGAGGGTTTCTGCGCCGTTTGCGGGCCTGCGGAGCAAGGGCCTCCCTCCGCCGAGCGGAGCTGGTAGGAGTCAATTTAAGAAACTCACCAAGATGTTAGGTCAAAATCTCAGAGCAAGGGTGAGAACCATCATCGCGTTGGTGTAAGCTTGCATGATGGTACAGTGATTCACTCACAGGACCCACTTTTTGAGACTGTCTTGCACTTGAAGCCCACCAAATCGCCTTCTCATATCTGTCTCACCTTGGTATGGACAATGACTTCAAACGCACCTTCACTCTTGTTTCGTTATCTCTCTGATCTCTCCTTTATTTTTCGCTTGACTAACCTTGACCGTAACCTTCGCACTTTCCTTTCGTATTCCAAGGCATCCGGCTGGTCGGGGGCAACGGGAGGCGAATAACACCCGACCTACATGCCTCGACGCCCATCACTCGAGATGTAATTGTCGCGCTTTCCACAGCACATCGCCCCCCCCCCATCGGAACTTGTTTGTGTACTGCTCTGTACGTGTAGGACAAGCGCACGGAAGAGGAGCGAGAACACGAGCCCCCAATGGTTGTTGGCAGGATGTCCGATTCCGACGACCTGGAGGTCGCCAAGAACCTCCTCAACCAGGCGGACGGGTTGCAGCAACAGGTGACCGTCAAAGATAGCTTTCCACCTTTCCCGGTGGACCGTTGCTTGTTTCGGGGGGTACATGCGAAGAGGCCGACCCTCTCTTGGAGATGTTGAGAAATTCAGGAGAAGACGAGGATCCTTGTTACATAGACCTCGCCATAAGACGCAACAACCAATCTTGTTGCAAGTTGTTCCCTCTCGTAAAGCGTCCGCTTCCTTGATCACACTCTGGTCGTACTTGTCGACCACACTCCAGGGCAAGTATTGTGATGCTGACTCTCCCTATCTTCGAGTCATCGAGATTCAGGAGAAGATGCCAGGTCCTGCCTGACCAAGATTTTGCCACAACGCTCAACAACCGGTATATGTTCCTCCGCATTTAGCTCCGCTTGCTTTGACCTCACGTCTGCCATGCTTTTGCCTCATGCTCTAGGGGAAGATACCGAGGCCGACCCTCTGTACCTTCGAGCTATTGAGGTTGGGGAGAAGAAGCTTGGCCCCGACCACCCGGATCTTGCAACGTGGCTCAACAACCAGGCGGTGTTGTTGAGAAAGCAGGTGATACTGTAGCTGTCACAATATTCCAAGACATATCTTGTGGTGCCGCGTGAGTGTTGCAATGCTGAAAACCTGGGCGGCGTTGTTGAGAGTGCAGGTGAGAGCCGTCAGAACTTTCTAATAATAGCACTCTCTTGGCGCCCTGTGGATGTTGTACATGGTGCTCAACAACCGGGCGAGGTTGTTGGAGAGGCAGGCGATAGCCAACCGATGCTTCTGCAAGATTTTTCTGGAATACAATTGTATTGTATACCCCCGCAGTTCTTTAGACCTGATATTGACTAAAATCCAACCTTCTGCCACAACGTATCTTGCTATGTACGCTGAGACATGGTCACGTTATGCACGGGTATAAGTCATACGAGGGTAGGGCCTGGGCCTTGAGCGCCCGGATGTTGCCCAGGCATTTGTTCTGTAGCGCATGCGCCGTCACCAAATGACCTTCTCTCATTCCTTTCCCGACACATTCCAGGGCAAGTATGACGAGGCTGGGCCTCTGTACAGGCGCTCGCTGGCTATCGACGAGAAAGTTTACGGTCGTGACCCCCCTGACGTCGCTACAAACCTCAACAACTTGGCGAGATTGTTCGATAGGCAGGTGAGAGCCAAAATATGAAAATATGCTACATAGTTGCTTCTAGATGCTTCAAGCAAGTATTCCTCGGCAATTCCAGATGTCAATTGGCTGAAGTCCGACTGGCTGCCACGTTGTTTATCACGTATCATGGCAAGTGTGCTGAGACCCTACCACTCTGTGAGCGGTCACCAGCCATACAAGCGACGGTTCTAGACCTGGGGCACCTGGATGTGGCCCAGGCACTCGAAAACCGGGTGAGCGTGGTTGAGGAACCGTGTACCCGCAGCGTAGATCCCACTTTGATTGGACTTGTATGAAAACAACTCTTGCTACGCTGTGTACTCCTGCATTCCAAGGCAAATACACTGAGGCCGAGCCGCTCTATGAGCGGTCACAAGCCATACGAGAGAAAGTGTTGGGTCCGGAGCGTCCTGATGTGGCCACATTGCTCAACAAAGGGCCCGGTTGTTGAGCCTTGCCGCCACATCAGGATGCTCCAGACCTAGCACCCCCTCTCGTATGGCCTGTGACCGCAAGTACAGTTGTTCGGCCTCAACGTACTTGCCCTGGGGCATGCACCGCGTGGCACAGTTGTGTGTATACCGCAATTTACGCCGAAAGAACATCTGCCAGCGAGTTCGACGACACAATTGTGAGGCCCCATTGGTGGCGTTTTCCTCGTGTCGCTGTTTTTTTTACTGCCTGCTAGATCACCTGCTCCCTGGTGAACGAGACGGTTTTTTACCCCCACGTCGTCCGTTATGCGGTGTTCGCACTGGTCAAGTTTTCTATCCTGCATCTGAACGTCCATTGGAGGAGTACATGGAGGCGATTGCACTATTGGAGAAGGCCCTAGTAATCCATACGAAGAAGCTTGGGGAAATCCACCCACGCACAGTCAGTACTCGGAAAGATCTGGAAGCTGTGCGAAAAAAGGTTCGTGCAAAGCTGGGCGGTCGTGTAAGAAAGCTCCATGCACCACGCATTGCGCGAAGGCCTGACACTGCCCAAAATGAGTTTGTCCCTGTTACAGGTGTGAAGACGAGATCGAAGCAACTGCCTGCGACAGCGGTCGGTCGCCGCAAACGCGTGAACAAGACGGGGGCAGCCTTAGGAAAATTGGGTCAAGTGTGACGGTGACTGTGGTGTGGAACAGTTACTGCATTTCTCGTTGATCGAAATGATCGTCCGTCGACGGTGCTTTTTCGCTTCTTTGCGTTGAACCGGGCGTAACATAGTGTTTTCGTTCGCGTGGGGACCATCCTTTCAGGGCGGTGCGTCTCGTAGTCGTGGGGCAACATGCTGAAAACACAACCAACCATAAGGTTCCCTGGCGTCCGAGTGTTTCGTATTCTTCTTGAGAGATGCCAAGCGTTGCCTTGAAACTGAGTTATGGAATCATTTTTGGTCACGACCCAGCCGCTGTGTAGTAGGTACATTCAGCATTGTGCCGCAACGACTACTACTGTGTTGCTTCGCATCGGAGCGTAGCAGGTGCAGTGCAACGGCCCTCTGTCGCGAGTGAAGCGGCGTTCGTGCGCGTTATTACGAAAGATATTTTCTATTTCCTCTAAACCGAGCAAGCTCAGCGTCTACAAGCGGATTACTCTAGAGGTTGAGACAACAGGGAACACCTTGGTATTTTCCTTCTAGAACTCAACTATCAGTAATCTATCTTCTCCAAATTCTAGCAAAGAGTACCAGCCCTCACACACACGCTTGCATGTAGCAGCTCTGCATATCGTGCGGAAAGAAACGCGTTCTCCACACATGATGAATAGCTTCAAACGCAGACATTATTAACTGTTCCGCACTAACTAGGAGCAAGCTGTCCAAGCAGCGGCAACCAATCGCACCCTTCTATAACCAACTCCTCCTGCTCTGTTTGCTTTTTCCGAAAACGAACAAATATTGGGCGTGGGGCAGACGGGTGGATGGAAGGGCTCTAAGTGATTCATGGGCCTTGCGGCGATAACCCAACGGAGCATACCGGAGGCGAATCTCCCGTTACCAGTGAATGTGACAGTCAAGATCCAAAGCCGCGGAGCGCTGGATAGATGCGGATGCCAAGGAGGAGGTGTTATCCTTGAGATTCACATAAGTGCACCGCCGCCCCCTTGATCCTTCTCTAGTCTCTCCCCTCCCCTCTCCTGCCATGTCAAGCAGCAACCCCCGTCCCGGTTCCCAACGACACACAACAACGGAGCGACTGTCTCTCCCCCATCTGGCTCAGCTCCTTCCAAAGGGCAACCAAGCCTTCATCTCATCATCCCGCCCTGCCGACCATCGGTGCCGCACGCCTTCACAAAACAGGCTTTACGTCGGTTGCGGCTACCAGGGGCGGGGGGTCGTCTTCCATGACAAGGACGGGGGGAGAGGAGGGGCCGCCCTGGAGCTTGGCCTTCTTCCGGCGCCTCGCGCGCTTCGCCTTTCGCTCGATCTCCTGTGCCGCAGTTTCGCTTGTTCCGAGGACGCCGATGTCCTGTTTTTTCGTTCGCGAAAATCAGAGTCCGGGGGGAGGGGGGGAAGCAGACACAGACCTTCTCCAGTTTGTGCATGGCTGGGCCTACCCTGTCCCTCTTTCAAAACAAGTTTTTCTTCCACTGTCAGCGGATTAACGCGGTCGATGCCAATCAAATGAATCAATCAGAAACTCAAAAGCACATACAGACATACACAGAGGCCGCATGAGAAGAAGGCCACGCACAGAGAGAGGGCGCCAGGGGGGAGGGGAAGGGTCGGTACAGAGACAAGGTACGATTGCTGCTTGCTCGCGCGGCCTCTATTCCCTCTCAGCAACCACCAACGATTTACCGATTCCGATGCCACAAGCAGGTGTTCGCGGGAGCGAGCACAACAAAAAATGCCGTGCTAGTCACGGCGATTTGGGGTGATCGTATCGAGTATGAGGCATTTCTGTGGCGGGGTGTTTCTGTTCCATCGCGGCGCCTCAAAGGTCGTGGTAAAGAATAAAAAGAGAGCTATTTTCACCTAACTACCCCCGCTAGGTTCAGGCCTAAAGGCAGAGCGCCCAACGCTGGCCAACCAGAAGCATGCCGCCCCTAACACCCACCTACATGCGCCTGCCGTCAAGTTACTGTACTCCGGAGCATATTTACCCTACATATCAGAACCACCAGCCTGTGCCGCCGGCTGGCAACTACATAGCTACCACATTTACCCTTCTCACTGAACACCGGCGTGTCGATGAGTAACTCGGTGCCGACCCTACGACTTCTTCAGCCCGTAAAAAGGGATGGTCACCACCGTCCCCCTTGCTCGGACAACAGCCGTCCGCATACACATCGCTCCCGTTGTTTTTTTCCCTCAGTTTTCGACGGAAATCGCATTCCCGCTTGGCAAACACGAAATGAATTACATCTCTTCCCCGCCACCTGGGGTGCAAAAACAATGTTTGCGTGGACCCTGTCCCTTGCTTGCCTGTAAGTGGTGTTCTGTGCGGTACAACAAGCGCGCTTCCCACGGCTTTCCGACGTTATGATACGTCGAAACCGTGCAGGATTTAGGCTCATTCAGCCGGATGACCTTGCCTGCCCTGAGGACGGACGGTCAGGCAGTGCAGCAGTGTGGTACAAAAAGCAGCGGTGGTGAACAAGGTCGGCCGGTGGTTACAAGGGAGTGGGTCGGGGGTGCAGGGGGGAAGGAGGGGGTGACACGGGGCCAAGGGGTGGAGACAGAATCGCTCTCGGGATTGATTATTGCAGACAACCAGAGAACACACTTCAATAATTCAAAACAGAACGAGTTGGGGAGAGTGCATACCGGCAACAATACTAAGAACGGAACGAGCTTCGGATAACCGAACGGAACGGGTGTTCGATAGAGGACCTACCCTGGGGAGAGTAACGAGACCACGACAAGTCAAGCAGCTAAGAGCACACATACATCCCAGTCGATGCAACAACCGGCACTGCTGTTCGTGACACCCTCTACAACTAGCAAACACAGCGAGGATGTTGGGGGAATGCGCGGGTGGGGGCTATGTCTTTTCATACCCCAAGCTTGCTGCCATTAGGCCACGGGGAGGTCGCACCCGTGTTTGCGATCGCTGTATCGCCAAATGCCACAGGGAGGGGGGGGGGGGGGGGATTGTGGTGGGGCTGATTGTGGTGGATGCACCCACCGGTGCGATGCCTACACGGCTCACGTGCACTGAAGGAAAACGGCGAGAAACTGAATGCTTCACCTTGGGTGTGGGAGGGGACAGGGGACAACTTACACAACGCTAGCGGCGGAACCCCCGTGTCCAACGGGGATGCGTGCGGTCAATGGACGCTTATCAGATGCCAAAAACGACAACCAAATGGCATCCCGCCCGATCCCATCAACCGCACATACTGCGTACCGCCACATAGCAGACAAAAACCTGCCAGCAAGGTTTCATAGACAACAGCTAGAGACACAAGCCAGCCTCCGTAGCCGCGTGCCTGGTTGTAGACGCGAAGGCCTTCTCGCTGCTGCCCCCTCCTGCACCAGCGCCCGTCGCTTTCGCGTCCGACTTGTTCGCTTGCGTGAAGGAGGTCGTTGAGTACTTCCGGTGACGGGACGAGGACCTGCAAGGCAAGAGGGAGAGACAGGCAGACAGACAAAGGCAGGGGGGACACAACGACGGGGTGAGTAAAACAGGACCGGTGTGTGTAGTGGAGGGGGGGGGACAGAGACGCGCAGAGCGAAAATAACGGTAGGTGTGCAAGGAGAGCGACAGGGAGGGGAAGACCGGGGGCAGGAAAAGAAAATCGGCCACGAGACAGAGAAGGGACGGAGGGGGCGTGTACTCATGCACAAGGCATTAGTCGCCGAGAATGTGCCAAAAAACCTCGCACAGCGTTGAACCAGCCGCCAAGCGCCCATGAGGCATTCATTCCTTCTGCCTGAAGAGTTACAAACCCCCGCTAACAGTCACGGGGCGGGCTTGGGGCGTGTTCATAACTGGAGCGCTTTTCGGACCGGTTCCTTGGTAACGAGCGCCACCCTAGAAAGCCCGCACTCCTGCTACCGATACCTGACTCGATAATTCGCAGGGTTGAAAGTGTTACGCCAAATCAGCGTGTTCTGCCCGTACATGCTCCAAAAGCCCCCTTCAATATTTGTGCGGGGAAAAAAGAGAACTAGCCAACAACAGCAACAACAACAGCAACAACAGCAACGACGACGCCAGCAACAGCAACATCTGCCGTCTGCGCGCGGACAAAGGAGGGCTCGCTCACCTTTTGCCAGTCTTGACACAGTCGTTCCACACAATCTTGACCACCCCAATCTCACTCGTGCGTGACTTCTTCAGCGCCCGTCCGCCGCTGTTGCCCTGCTGTTCCTTCAAGGTGGTAAACCTGCATCCCACACAAGACGGGCACAGGACACACACACACACACGCACGCACGCACGCCCTCACGCACGTTCACAACGTTGTCGGTTGTTGTTTCTGTCCGGCTTAGACTAGCTTGTAACGCTTATTTCTTGGTCGACAGAAAAGCATGGTCGACGGTACCTAAAAAGACTTGCACGCGCGCGAGAGAAAGAGACAGAGAGAAAGACAGTGTGTGTGCGAGAGAGAGACAGAGAAAATCCTTGAAAAACCACTTCAACGTAGCCCCATGCATCAATAGGCAGTCTGCGTGCCTCCAGCGCGGTTGTTCCGACAGCGCGCACGTAGGGAGGGAGCGGGCGTGGAAGTCAGACCGCACCTTGGCAGGGAGAAAAGGAGCTCCTGGATGCCTTTTGCAGTGGGAATCCCCTCAAACACCTGGTTTTCTCCCGCGCGCACATGCTTTCGACACACCTGCGTGTTGGTGAGGGGGGGGGGGGGGGGGGGGGTTTGGGGGGGGGGGAAAAATGGGCCAACCTTTTGAAAAAAAGAAATTTAAAACCCCAAAAAAAAAAAAAAAAAAAGGGAAAAAAAAACCCCCCAGGGAAAAAGACAGGGCCAAAAAAAAAAAGAAAAAAAGAAACCCCCCCTTTGGGGAAATTTTTTTGGAAAAACCCCCAATTTCCCAGCGACCCCGGGGGGGAGGGAAAAAAGGGGGTTGGGACCCCGGGCCCCAACACCCTAAACCTTGGGGGAAAAACCAAGGGGTTTTTTCCCCCCCCTGGGGGGCCTTTCTAAGGGAACCCCCGGGACCCGCCCCCAATTTCTAAACATGGCAAAACTGTTTTCTGGGGGGAAATTTTTTTCCCCCCCAATTTCCCCCAAAATAAAAACCGGAAAAAAAAAATTTAAAACCCGGGGGGGCCAAAGGAGGAACCAAACCCCAATAATTGCGTTGGCCCCACCGCCCCCTTTTCCGGCGGGAAAACTGTCGTGGCCCCCGCATTAATAAATTTGCC